AAACACTTTACAATGCTTGGATCTGAAGTAAGCTTATGTTCCAATAAACAAAAGAGGAAACTAAATTTTAGAAGTGATGAAGATATATTTATTGGTTATAAGCTGAGCTGCAAAGAATAGTGTCCTTGATCCTACCACATATGCAGCTAAATTACATAGTACTTTGATAACCAAATAGTAACAGAATCCCAGAAATCAACTGAGGTATTTCAGCAATAGATGAAACTGTGCCAAAGCCTCAATAAGAGTAAGTGATTCTGCAGTTGTCATCAAAGAAGTCATTGTGATGTTTGATAGAAGCAGAGGACCTGAATGTGAAGGGGCTACCAAAATTGAGGCAGAGATAAGATGATCAGGCAGACGCACAAACTGGTAGGATCCCCACATATCCTCTCATCTCCTCTTCACAATAAAAAGAATACACCAGAGCTTCCTACAAACGGCATTGTGTTTTGGGATTGAGCAAACACATTGCTTCAATTTATGAGTGGTTTATTTATAAATAGTACCTTTTTAAAGTAGAAATGCACCTGGAGAGTGAGAACATGTGAACGCTCCAGAAAAATACAGAGTGATTTTTGCCTGAAAGCTGGATGTGGCACAGGAAGTTTAGAGTTCAACCCAGAGTCAAACCACAGGAGACAAAGTGAACCTAAAATACATTAAAAGATTATTTAAATGGAGTGAGGGGAGGTAGGAGAATTCCCTGAAGTAGGCAACCAAGAGTCAACCAGCAGAGCTCCTATAGCAGTAATGCATCAGTCACAGATGGTTAGTTGGTTGCAGCACTCTTTTGGCCTTTTCCCACCTGCACTTCACTGTGTCCTAGACATGACCTGGTAACATCTGTTTTTCTGCCATGTCTGCACAGCATCCTTAATCTCATCAGAGTTTTAAATCATTCTTAGCTGTATCACCATTAAGATAGTGTTTCCCCACTCCCAAGAGTAGTTTCAAGATATATGAAATTTGTTATTTTTTTTATCACACATCACCCTGGAACTGACTGACTTTGACTATAAAGAAAGAATAGAGGCAGGACAGGGGTTAGCATCGGTAGTTACTATTGTTTTCTGCAGACTCAAGCATTAATTGATAGAGCTATGGTATAGCTTAGTAGTGGGGAAAAGAGTCTTTACTTTCTCTTCCCAGGAAGAGAAAGTCCTTGAGTCATGTGTTTACTCAACTGCTGTCTTCTCCCTCCACCATCCCGAAGGATTTCATCCAATCTAAGTTAATAGCAGGAGGGATATCCTTTGTTTAGTATACTTGCCTGGAAAACAAAACCCCTGCATGGATACATACAAAGTCCAATTGCAAGCCACCAAATTAGCCCAACAGAGCCAAGACACTTTAAACAATGCTGCTTATTCTTTTATATTTACCAGGTTTTGCTCAAAAATGGAGGAAAATGTTCTCTTTTTGAAAACAGTTTTTAGAACATTGATTTTATTCTGAGATCCCAGCACACAAAATGGATGTTCTGTTGTACCTTTATACTATTTGCTCTTTCTTTGTGACCACGTATATAAAAATCATTTTAAAATAATTGAAATAAAGCCAAACTCTCCCCACTTGGTAGAGTAATGAATATCCTGACTTTCTGTATCTTTCTGAAGAACTGGAGGCTTGCATCCTGTTCTTTTCTGTAATTCCCAGACACAGCAGAGAACGAAAACAGAACTCTTGTATGCACAGTCAACACTCTGTCACTAAGGTATGTCTTCAATAGTGGATTTAAACAATTCATTCTTAAATTTTAAGAATGATGATTTATAATAAACCATCTTCATATTTTCCCAGATTTTGACTGTGAACTAGATATTTGCATAGAAGAGAGAAAGAAATTCCTCTTTTCTGTTTCTTTGTATGGATTACAGCATCTGTAGTTTGAATTCTTATAAGCATTTAAGCATTATTTTGTTCCTCTCTTCTAAAATAAAAGAACTGACAATAGAATTTGGGTTGCAGCAATAACCTAGACAAAGCTATAGCCAATTTTTTTCTTATGGACATTGCAGCAGCACAGAACTTTGCCACTGCATACGTGGTAACCTGGTTAGTGTCCTGGAGGAGAAAGCCTAGATAAAAATTGTCTGCCCTCCCTGGCAATCTCTCTAATAAGGGGAAAATATATGCAGACCTACAAACTCTGTATAGCTCGCAGTGTAATAGTACATGTGAATTATCTTCCACTTCTCCTTTACCACATATACAAACGCGTTCGGCTATAGGTGTTCTCTTATACCTGCCCTGGAGGAGTGCTGAAGGAAGAATGTTAAATCTGGCTCTGAAGAAAGCTATTCTTTGTTTTGGAGAGATCAGGTCACTTAGATATCTTGCCGATTCCCACACACCCTGTTTGATTCTGTCCCTACTGTGGAAAGGCAACCTATTTAGTTCTTCTTGGAACTCCATGTCCCTCATTCTATTGATTACTACTTGCTTTGCTTGCTCAAAGCCTAGGGACATTAAGAATAATGGTGAAAGCCCATAAGAGCCTAGCTTATGATCAATTGCTTGTTTCCAGGGGGAAGGGAAATTGTCAGTCAACACTAGTGGGGACAGTCCCTCTGGAAAGAAATGCATTTTAAGCCAATAAATGACCATCATCTTCCAGGCTCTTACTTGAATTTGAGGCATGCCTGTCTCAATTCTTAACTGGGCATTTGGAGTTCCATTGGGAGCAACTAAGATGGCTCGCAGGAATTTTGTTTGAATGGTTTCTAACAAGTCTCTCTTTGCAAGGATTCCTGTTTGTGCCACATAAAGAATTTGTGCCAATGTTTTGGCCTCAAAAAGTTTTAAGGCAGCAGGTACTAACTGACCTCCACCTGTATAAAAGAAATGTTTGATTGCATTTGAGGACCTAATGGCTACTTGCAATGTGTGATCCAGGTGTGCCTTCCATGTCCCTAGCGAGTGGAAAACCACACCAAGGTATCTAAATGTTCTAACCTGTTCCAAACTATATCCTTCTATTTGCCAGGAGTATTGGCGTGGTCCTTTAGCAAAAACTAAAATTTTTGATTTATCGAAGTTAAGGACCAGCTTGTTTTGCCTGCAATAGCCGAGTGTTGCCCTAATTGCTCTCTTCAGTCCTATGGGGGTTTGTGAAATGATAGCGGCGTCATCAGCATATAAGAGAATTGGCACTTTGCGTTGTGCTAGGTTAGGAGGATGGAAATCCGGGTTCTGTAAAAGCTCAATCAGGGGATTAATATAGAAGTTGAAGAGGGAGGGGGACAGGATACAACCCTGCCGTACCCCTTTTTGTACCCTTACTGACCCAGTTAAACTCCCTTGGGGATTGCACCTCACTTTCAGGGTAGAATTGGTATACAATTTTTGTATGAGGAAGAGGAGGCATTTATCGATAGTGGTGCATTTTAACTTCTCCCAGAGGGTGATCCTGGATATTGAATCGAAGGCTTGTTTAAAATCCAGGAAGGCCACAAAAAGAGAGGATTTTTTTTTTATGTGTGTATTTTGTACTAAATGGTGGAGTACCAAGGTATGATCCACCGTCGATCTTCCTTCTCTAAAACTGGCTTGTTCGTCTTTAATTATCCCCCCTGAAATTAGCCAATCTTGAAATTTATAATTTAGGTGTTTACTACAATTTACTAATAACGTTTAGAAGACTAATGGGTCTGTAGTTGCCTGGGTCATATCTATTCCCTTTTTTATAAATTGGTATGATAATTGCTACTCCCCAATCTCTAGGCATATGGCCTGTATTGTCTATAAATATAAACAGTGACGCTAAAAGTGGAGCCCACCAATTGGCGTTCTTTTTAATTATTTCTGGCAGGACATTATCAGCTCCGGGTGCCTTATTAGCCTTTAGGGCTCCAATCAACAGGGATATCTCTTCTGATGTAACAGGGGGCCAGTGAGGAGTGTGGTCCAAACCTTCATTCAGAAATTCAGAAATAGTTGTGATCAGGCATATATGTTTGATCTCACAAAAAAGAGATATCTGGGTCCTAGCATCCAATTGAGTGGTAGCAATGTTGACTTCAGTATCAATATTTAAATCCAGTTTCTTAGCTGCAAAGACAAACAACTTAAAACAATGCATTTTACAGTAACTGCTTTGGTGACAAGAAACAATGTCAGGCACAGCCCGAGAATGACACATAACAATCCAGTCAAAATTCAGTTCTTCATTTTCCCACACCATATAAACAGAATCTTGCCTGATTAAACCTATACCACTGTAACCCTAACAGTTATACACTGGGGAGCTCTAACAAGTGGCTGTTCTAAATCTCTTTCTCATTTTCCATTTCAGTTCCAGGTTGTGTTATCTCTTGTCAATTCCACCTCTTTGGAATGTCCTTCTTACACTTCTCTATAGTCCATCATACCAACACCACTTTTTAGATACAATCCATCACAGTCATCATGCCTTGACTCCACAAGAATCATACTGCTCCTCTAAGCACTTGCCAGAAAACCAAGAAATAGTTACATCCAAACAGTTAGTAGCACGATTAAATTCCACTATATTAAATAAATGGTCACATTATAGGCTTTTGGAAGCCTCTTTAAGAGAGAGAGACGAAGTTAAAGCATCTTCCAAATCATACTATCAATTCTCCCTTGCCACAACATGGAAAAGTAATATAGGTTCCCTCTGATTTTTAGTAAATATCTAACGCTACTGCTACAGAAAGTTAAACAGAATGTTTCTGTGATAGTTGAACATACCTTGTGAATTATAGTATATCTACCCTGCAGACATACCACTAAGATAACCCCCGAGAGGTTTATAGAAATATCAACACTCAAATTCACAGAGTGAAGGTCGGAAGACGCAGCTCCATGAAAGGATAAATGCCTGGGGCTTTACCAAACACAATATAGCTGTCAGTTGTTATTATGTTAAAGATTTTCTGGGGAACAGTGTTTTTCATTTTGCATGTCAGAGAAGGGATAAAGAGACACTCTCTTTAAGAAAACATAGGGGGCGAGGAACTGAGCTTTGTACTCACCAGGGTTGGTTATAGTCAAGAGGTCAAGTTGCCGCTGTTGCTGAAAAACAAATGATAAAAGGAGTTGCTGAAAGATAGCCAATTTTAGCAGGTCAGTTTAGATGTAAAATGCTACTGTTCTGACATTTGTAATAGAATTAATTACAAGTTACATGGCTCACCATTATGAAAGCCATGTGTGTCTAGCATTGACTTCTGAATGCTCCCTAATTTGTGTTCTTAAGGGTGTTAGTAATTAAATTGATGTTAAGTGTATACACATATATCTCTGTTTAGATTTTTTTTCCTGCTTCAAACAAAGGAAGCATTTAATACATCAACCAAGCAGTAATAAGGAATGACTTAGGGAATTGATGCCCAGGATTCTATGTTCAAGTAATCTTAATTAACATTCTTTGTTTGAACTCTTTTTAATTATCTGTATTTTGTGTAGGTATGTCAGTGGACCAACATCTCTGTAGAACGAATGAAACTGATGCGAATTAAAAATGAAAGGAAAGAAGCACTTGCTGCTTTCCCAAATTATTTTGTTTGCAAATTTCATTGCAGTTCCTCCAATTTTCTTCTATCTGTTTACTACAGATATTTATGATGGCAGCACTCCCATCAAAGTAATCTGATGCAAAATATCAATTTTTATACTACAAATACAAATCAGTTAATGTAGTCTGATTTCTAAAATATGTCATCACTAATTTTTGTGGGATTCCATTACAACAATCCAATAGGTTTGCCACAGGTACTGATTGCTAAAAAAAAAGTAATTCTCCCATACTAATAATTGTTTTAAACAAAGTAGGGTGGTTTTTTTAAAAAAAAATTCCATATTCCTCACAATTGTTACAGCTTTTTTATCCTTAGTTTCCAATATGCCATAGGACTACTCTCCAAGGATACCTCAAATGCATAAAGAATAAAAGTTGGATTTTGCTTGAAATTTGAGGTCTTTAGATCCAGCTCTTTGTGTAGCCCACAGTCCAGAAATATATGAAAAGAAAGTGTTTTTGTATTTAGAAGTCTTGCAGGAATATTTGTTTAAGGATATAAAATATAGACATGGAAATAAATAAAAAATCCAAAACTTTATATACTTGTTCCTCCCCTTTTCATAGTATCATATTAATGTTTATTTGCCATTTATTTTTCTCTGTTAGGCCTCCTAATAGTTAGTGTTCTTTCTAAATTCTTCTGGTCCTACATTTATGTAGCACTAGCATTACAGAATACACCGTCCACTTTAATTTATCTTTCCTCATCTGTTCAATAATGTCTGTGTTACTTTCATTTATTGTCAGACCTATTGATCCTCTTCTAATCTAATTCTCATCATTATGCTGTCTCTATTCTTTTAGTGACACTTGGAAGTCCTTGAGAATGGGAAGCATGCCTTCATGAGCACTAAACTAAAAAAGTTCTCCTTTCGCCAACTTCTGTTCATTCAGTCTCATCTATGTGAACTGAAAGTTTCAGTATTTGTGTAATCAAATCAGTGGTGAGTTGCAGGCGATACGCCCCGGTACGGGCATACCAGAGCCTGCCCGGAGCACAGGGTACCGTTCCATTCCGGTGCTTCGGAGGGCCCACCCACCCACTCGAGCTCCTTACCTGTCCTTTAAGCCTTTGGCACTTCTGCCTGCACGATGCTCCGCTGAGCAGCTGGAGCATCACGGAGGCTTGCTGAGGCATCACAGGTACGATGCATGCACATGCCCATGTGGGCGATGCCAGGCCTGTTCCAACAGGTTGGAACGGGATCTGGAACCCACCACTGAATCAAATGTTATCTAGTGAATGAACACAGTTTCCAGATGCTACATGAACCTCTCTGACAAGTAAAGGATTATGCATCAGTTTGGATTCAAAGGCAAAAAAGATGCTTTAGAGCACCTGCCTGCAATTCCTAAAATTAAATATGTCCTTTCCTAGGATCATATGGAAGTTGTGGAGGGCTGTCATACAATCCTGAGAAATGGTGCAGCTACTTTCAGCAGTTGCAGATAAGTACATTTGCACTATATGAACCACAAATCTTTTTTTTTTTAGCCTTTGGATCCTAAATCCTAAGACTCAGTTCCTCCTTAGAACAAAAATAACAAAAATTTATAATTAATAGGTTTGTATTTTTTTGTCATGAAAACTCCATTATCTTGTTCTTATACATTTAACTTGTTGTTGCTATAAATTTAACTTGTTGACTTGTTAAATTTATCTTGTTCTTATAAATTTAACTTGTTCACTAGACAAATTATAAACCAAGATTGATTAATTGCCATCAAATTGATGTTGAGTCTTAGCAACCACACAGATTTTCCCCATGAATAAACCAATAGAACATCTAATATCTTTTGTAATAAATCTGTAGTCCTTTTCTCATTGCCACTGCTTCCATTCCCTAACTTTTCAAAAACCGTTTCAAATTACCACAGTCTTCTTTATTTAAGCTGACCTGAAAAGAACCCCAAGGCCACATGAGGCTATTGATTCTGTTAGAGATGTGGATCCAACAGTCACTTGAGTTTTCAGAACCTCATGACCCACTGAAAAAAAGGAAGAAGTGGGATAGAGACAAATAATTATGGATTTACTAAGTCCTTTGCTTGTCTGTACTCTTTAGAAATGTTCCAGATCTTTGGCTAACACATTATTAATCTGAGGTAACTTTTTTTCTGCCATTTTGCTAAAGTTAACACATGAAGTACTATCCTCGGACTATCCTCCTGGTGGGATATGGTAAGGATATGGCTTTGCCTATGTACATAATGTATTTCCTGTAAATAAATCTTCTCTTCCTTATAATAAAACCTATCTATCTATCTCTCACAGTTTCTCTCCCTCTCTCTCTCCACACACACATGAAAAGACGACATAACATTTCTATCTGAATCTTGATAAAGCTAGGAATATATTTGCTCCTATGCTGAAAAGATATGGTATCTGGAAGCATTGCAGTTGTCATAGTTTGTTCTCTAAGTTGCTCACAAGAATCTGTTCTTCCTAGTTATAGCTTTCTTTGCTTCCTTCTTATCTTTATCCCATACATAATTTATATTCACAACAAAAGTTAAAATGAATTTTATAATAGCCTGTCTACTTCAATTCCTGCAAAGGAACCACCTCTCTGTATCTTAATTCTGGAGCTATCATTACTCAGAATATTTAAATAGAATCCACATACCACAATCCATCAAATACTGTTATTATTCCATTGTATTTCATTCTAATAACTACACTGTTGTTCTTCACCTCAAATTCAAATTTAAATATATCGATTTGTCCCTGAATATAGCTGTACAGTACTTGGCTGACCTTAAAATACTTTATTGTTGAAATTCTTTATTACATTTTTCTGTTTTAAGACTTTAAACTTTGAGCATTTTTTTTAACCTTTTCTCCTGATAATATATTCCCTCTTTTTCTTCCCTTTCAGCAGTTAAAGTCTCTTCCTTGGCATTGATGCCCTTAGGGACTTTTGCTGACTTTTCAATTTAATGGTAGCCATAATTAACTCAGGGTGAGAACAAAAAGTACAAAGAAAGTATTATTTTGTGTAAATTAACAAATTCATTTAAGATTAGATTATCTTCAAGATAGCTCTCACTACTTTTTTGTTCTTTGTTTCATTATCTAAAACTCTAAGCCCAAATGAAACACATCATAAACAGGTCAATTCTTTTCTTATCACAAGATGTGTTCACAGAAGCTTTATTCAAAGATATTTCAATACAGTTGAACACTAACTCTTCTGAAAACTATGCAAGAGACTTCTAAACTGCAGATTTTTAGTAACATTCTCTACCTATCAAGTAAATTAATTTCTCTACTCCCTCTTTAAATTCTGTCAAATAGAGCTAACTCACTTCACCTGGTTTCTTTACATTTGTTCAGAAGAAGATATAGGGTTCTCACATCCTCCCATCACAAACTTAACCTCCTTCCATTTCAGCTGGAAGAATTCTATTTAATTACAGGCTAGCTCCAGCAATTCATTGGTTGCTTTATAGAAGAAGAAATGCCCTTTCAACTGAGCCAATCTTATTAGCAGCTCTAATTCCTTTTAGATTTCTTCTTTGCTCTTCTCAACTACACAGTTACTGTAACTCTTGCTTTGTAAAAAGAAGGTTGCGGGTTTGAAACATAACAATAGTGAACATTAATTTAATTACTATTTTATTTCTAAAACTGGCTTCTTTTTTCCTCTGATTTATTTTAAAATAAGTGTTTTGATACACTATTTCACTATTTTTCCAGCCACCTGAGAGGTAATAGTATTTTACTCCCAGAACACACAGACATAGAATAGAATAGAATAGAATAGAATAGAATAGAATAGAATAGAATAGAATAAATAGAATAGAATAATAGAATAGAATAGAACTCTTTATTGGCCAAATGTGATTGGACACACAAGGAATTTGTCTTTGGTGCATAAGCTCTCAGTGTACATAAAAACATACATTTGTCAAGAATCGTAAGGTACAACATTTAATGATAGTCATAGGGTACAAATAAGCAATCAGGAAACAATATCAACATAAATTGTAAGAATACAAGCAACAAAGTTACAGTACTGCAGTCATGAGTGAGAGGCGATGGGTGATAGGAACGATGAGAAGACTAATAGTAAAACTAATGCAGCCTTAGTGAATAGTTTGAGAGTGGGAGGGAATTATTTGTTTAGCAGAGTTCAGGGAAAAAAACTGTTCTTGTGTCTAGTTGTCTTGGTGTGCAGTGAGTGCTCTATAGCATTGTTTTGAGGGTAGGAGTTCAAACAATTTATGTCCAGGATGCAAGAGGTCTGTAAATATTTTCATGGCCTCTTTTTGACTGGTGCAGTGTTCAGGTCCTCAATGGAAAACAGGTTGGTAGTAATTATTTTTTCTGCAGTTCTAATTATCCTCTGAAGTCTGTGTCTATCTTATTGACACATACAAAGACATACATACAGATAAATTGTTTCACATATACTTACTTTCAGAATTTACACTTACACTTCATACAACATACATTCGGCTTAATACTATTAAGACACATTCTACTTAA